GTTCTCCGGAGCTCTGCACAGTCAATCTGCACCGGTCAGCGTTCCGGCACCGAGAGCGCCCAGAGCGAGCGCTGGCCCATCCAGCTCTCGGGTCCCCAGGTACCTCCCCTCGCCCCGCCTCGTAGGCGTGACAGTTGCCAGAGTCTCAATGGGGGTTGGAACTTCCAGAACCAAGCTGGAATGGCTACCCACTACAGCACGCCTTTAATCCCAGCACTCAGGAGGCAGAGGCAGGTGGATCTCTGTGAGTTCGAGGCTAGCCTGGTCTACAAAGTGAGTTTCAGGAAAGGTGCAAAGCTACACAGAGAACCCTGTCTCGAAAAAAACCAAAACCAAACCAAACCAAACCAAAAAAACCAAACAAACAAACAAAAAACTTAGTTGAACCAATTAATTTCGCCAAGGTGAACAAGCTTTCTCTCTCTCTCTCTCTCTCTCTCTCTCTGCACATGTGTGTGCAGGCATGCATGTGTGTGTGTGTGCGTGTGTGTGTGTGCAGGCATGCATGTGTGTGTGTGTGTGTGTGTGTGTGTGTGTGTGTGTGTGTGTATGTGTGCAGCAATGGCTGATCTCTAGCACTCTCTACCTTACTTTTTGAAGTGATCTTACTGACCCTGGAGCTCACTGATTCAGTCGGACCAGGGGGACACTGAACCCCAGGGATCTGCCTGTCTCCATCTCCTCGGCTCTTGGATTACAGACCTGCACTGTGCTCAGCTTCATGTGGGTGCTGGGCACCTGAACTCAGTCCTCATGCTCATGAAGCAAGCACTTTCCCAACAGGCCACTTGCCTGGCCCCGAACATACTCTAGGAAGAACACTGCGTTCTTCTGAACGTGTAAACTTTGCCCCAGTCAGGTGTCCCGTGCTTGAAGGCTGCATTCTTAGCAGGAAAAACCCTTTGTAGTTAATGGTTAAATGTCCGTGAGAGGACTCTGCTCCTTCTCAGCCTGCATGGAGAAGGGGAGCTTCCCCAGAACAGAGTGAGGCACACAGGTTTAAACTTCAGCAATGGGAGGCTTCTGGGCTCCAGCAGTGAGAATGTTGAGTATTTTCTTATCTGCTGGTTTCCTCAAAAGCCCTTGATTTTTCTGAGGGGTGGGATGTGTATGTATGTGGCACATGGGTGTCTATGTTTTTGCCTGTGTGTAGGCACACGGACATATGTGTGCATGTACATGTGGTGGCCAGAAGATGATATTGAGTGTCTTCCTCAGTTGCTATCTTATTTTAGTAAAGACGGGGCCTCTCAGTGAACCTGGAGCTCACTGATTGGCTAGGATGGCTGGCCAGTGTGCTCCAGGGATCCTCCTGTCTGCTTTCCTACCCCGGGCTCCTATGCTGGCATTACCAGTGTGCCCCACGGTGCCAAGCTTTTCACATGGGTGCTGGGAGCTCAACTCTGGTTCCCAAGCTTGTTCAGCAAGCATCTGACTGACTGAGCCATCTCCTCAGCCCAGTCTTAACCCCTTCTGAGGGACACACCCCCAATGACCTCAGGACCTCCTACTAAGCTCCGCCTCTTAAAGGGTCCACCACCTCCCAAGATTGCCACACTAAAGACCAAAACGCCCAACACATGAACCCAAACCACACCCTAGAAACAGCAGAGGTGCACTGTGGAGATGAGCCAGAGAACCAGAATGGGTGGGCGACTTCACACTGGAGAGACCAGAGAACCAGTATGGGTGGGCGACTTCACACTGGAGAGACCAGAGAACTGCTGGGGAGAGGAAAGAACTGAAAAAGATGCAGAAAGAAGGGGCTGGAGAGGTGGTTCCTACGAAGATCTTAATGCATTTCCAGAGGACCTGAGTTCAGTTCCCAGCTCCCAGGCTGGGCAACTCACAACTGCCTGTTGTAACTCCAGCTCCAGGGCACCCAATGCCCCTTTCTGGCCTCTGTGGACACTTGCATTCACTAACACAAGCCCCCACACAGACACATACATGGACATATAATTTGAAAATACAGTATTTTTTCTAAGAGAGAAAAGATCCTCAGGTTTTGAAACTCATGGTGCGCTTGAATCTAACATGAGCAGTGGGCGGCACCAGAACCCTAGAACAGCTGCGGGAGGCAGGAGGGGAGGGGTTTGAAAGACTGACAGGGCCGGCGTGCAGCTCAGTAGCAGTAGACAGGGTGCCCAGTGTGCACAGAGCCCTGAGTTCTGGATCCAATGCCAAGAAGAAAAAAGTTAAGCATTTTTTTAAAAAGTATCATGGAGGGACTTCACTGTAGATATGAATCACTGTCCCCCAAAGCAGCTGAGAAGATGAATTCTGAGGTAGGACTCTACCCATGACTGGCCATTAGGTATCACAGCTCTCTTTGAGGTCCAATGAGAATGGTGATGTGTTTTTACTATGTCATGTATGATCACACTTGGGTGCTGAAGTTTTAATGTGCATTATCTCAGCCAATTGTCATACTCTTTTTTCCCATTAACATTATCATTATTATTATTATTATTATTATTATTAGTAGTAGTAGTAGTAGTAGGTTTTTCAAGACAGGGTTTCTCTGTGTAGCTCTGGCTGTCCTGGAACTTGCTCTGTAGACCAGGCTGGCCTCAAACTCACAGAGAGAGATCTGCCTGCCTCTGCCTCCCGAGTGCTGGGATTAAAGGCGTGCACCACCACCGCCTGGTGCCATTGACCTATTTTTAATTGTTATTTGTGTGTGTGTGTGTGTCTGTGTGTGTGTGTGTGTGTGTCTGTGCACACATAGGCATGCAAGTGTGCCATGTCATCTGTGTGAGGTCAGAGGGCAACTTGCAGGAGTCAGTTCTCTCCTTCTATAATATTGCTCATTAGGATTGAACTAAGGTCATCGGGCTTGCTGGCCCTTCATTTACTTCTGAACTGTGTGTATGTGGGGGGCGGAGTGGGGGCAAATGTGTGTGTGTGTGTGTGTGTGTGCACATGTATCATGGAATTCATGCAGAGGTCAGAGACAACACAGGGGCTTTGGTTCTCTCCTTCCACTACATGGGATCTGGGGATCAGATTGTCAGCCTTGTCAGCACTGACCAAAACATCTTGCCAGCCCCGTCGTTCTAACCTTATGGAACAGTTCCTTAGCAGTGCGGTTTCAGACAGTAGTCATGCTAATGTTACGAGGTAGTTATGTCATCACCCCAGTTCTACAGATGGGCAGCAGGAGCTCAGAAAGCTGAAGGAGTTGAGGCTCTTTTCTATTTCTCTCAGCTATAAGCTCATAGACCCTTCTTTTGGTGCCGGCCTGGTTCTGGCACAACTGCAGCCAGGCCCGGGCTCAGGGCCTGTCTGCCTCACTCTGGGCTTACATTTCCTCCATAGATCAAGTGGCCTGTGCTCATCCCGACATCTGCCAGCAGGTCTGTAGCAATCCCTCTGGCTGTTCAGACATCGCATATCCTAAACTTGTGCTGGAACTTTTGCCCACAGGTAATGTCCCCTCACCCCTATACTTAGTCTCCTGGACCACCTAGAAAAGAGGACAGTGCCTGGGTGCTGATCTGAGAGGTAGGGACAAGATGTAAGAGCTATGGGCACCCCAAAGGCCAGAATTTGGGAGGTTCACAAAGTCTTGTCTTATTACCCCACCAGAGGGGCTACCTCAGAGCTGGACCATCGGGATCAGCTAGCTTTAGGCCTGGAGTGACAGGGACACAAGAGAAGGCAGATGCTGTCAGGAGAAAACCCAAGGCCTATAGACCTCCCTTCTGCCCCCAGGACTCCGTGGGCTCATGATGGCTGTGATGGTGGCGGCTCTCATGTCCTCCCTCACCTCCATCTTTAACAGCGCCAGCACCATCTTCACCATGGACCTGTGGACCCACATCCGGCCACGGGCATCTGAAAGGGAGCTCATGATTGTGGGCAGGTAAGGCCATAGAGAGTAGGACTCTGGGAAGTGAAAAGCCCAGACACCTAGCAAGGAGGGAATTGAGCTCCCAGACAGGCAAAGCCAATGTGCCCAAGCTTGCTCAGCCTCTGCTGTTGACAACGAGGAGCAGGCTCTCTGCATGAGTTAGTCACTCATTCAAGAGAGGTCCTGTGAACACCTGCTGTGTTCCGGGACTTAAAACAGTACTTTAGAGCCGGGCGGTGGTGGCGCACGCCTTTAATCCCAGCACTCGGGAGGCAGAGGCAGGCGGATCTCTGTGAGTTCAAGGCCAGCCTGGGCTACCAAGTGAGTTCCAGGAAAGGCGCAAAGCTACACAGAAAAACCCTGTCTTGAAAAACAAAAAAAAAAAAAAAAAAAGAAAAAAGAAAAAAAAAGAAGTGCGTCTGTTGGCATGGTGCTGGAAGGGGGGGAAGGAGAAGACAAGCAGGCAATTAAAGCCCTGATGAGTGTTCCAACTGGGAATCAGGAGACCTAGACATTCAGATGGGAAGCACCAGTCTGGGTTGGGATCTGGGGGATGGTAGGAGGTAGCTGGGTAAGATGGGGGTGGGGGGGCAGGTTTCTGGAGTGTGGGGGACTGATTTCTATTCCAAGACTCCTGCAAAGTCCTGAAGTCTAGTAGGAGAGCAGAAATGAGCATCATGAAAATAGACACAAAAAAGCTGCTTCTTGGGGCCCTGTCAGTCAAAAAGATGCATGTAGAGGGATGTCTCAGCCATCGTCCAGGGAAAGAGTGCTTAGACATGACCCTCAATGTTAACCCACTGAAGGAAAGGTAGATGCGCTGCACTTGGCCACTTGAGAAGACACCATTAAAGAGATCTAAAGATGCGCCACAGATTGGAAAAAAATATTTGCAGCCCACATTACATACTGAAGAATGCGTAGTCTAGAAAATGTAAAGAACTCTTGGGACATAATGTGACCAACCACCAAAACAGCGGAATGGACATTTCACCAATGAAGATGTAGAAATGGCTGTAAGCCTGTGACAAGATGCTCAGCATCATTTATTACATGAGGTACCGCTTCACCCCACTAGAATGCCAGTAACAGCCAGACACAGTGGTGCATGCCTATCACCCCAGCGCTTGGGAAGCTGATGCAGGAAGACCTTGAGTGTGAATCCAGCCTGGACCACACAGCAGGTTCTAGGCCAGTCTAAGATACATAGTGAGGCCCTGTTTCAAAAAAAAAAAAAATTGTTTTAAATAAAAAGAGACAAGAAAGTGGAGAGACTAGAAATCCTATACAGTACAGATGGGACCATGAATGATTCTCTTTAAAAACCAGTCCTACAGTTCCTCAAAATGTTAGGCATAAACTTACTAGATGATTCGACAGTTTGCACTCTGAGAAATGAGAACATATGTCCAAAGACCCGGATACAGATGTTTATACAAGTCGTTTACAGTTGCAAAGAAGGGGGCAGAAATTCTGTCATCAGCTGATGGAAGACAAGCAATGGGAAGAAACGGTGTGTTCATGATACAGCACTTTTCAGAAGCGATGAAATGGTCCGGTGAGCTGGCTCAGCTGGTGAGGGTGTTTACTACCAAGTTCGATGACCTGAGTTTGATTCCCAGGCACCACCTGGTGGAAGAAGAGAACCCATAAGTTCTCTGACCTCCACGTGAGGGCCATCCACCCTGAATGCCCCCTACAAAGTAAGATTTTTTTTTTTTTTTTTTTTTTTTTTGCCTCTGCCTCCTGAGTGTTGGGATTAAAGAGTGTGCCACCAATGCCTGGCTCAAAATAAGAATTTTAAAGATTTATTTACTGTGTATGACTGTTTGGTCTGCATGTATGTCTGTGCACCATGTGTGTGCCTGGTGCCCTTGGAGGCCAGAAGAGGGCATTGGATCCCCTGGAACTGTAGGTACAGACAGTTGTGAACTGCCATGTGGGAGCTGGAACTTGAACCCAGGTCCTCTGGAAAAGCAGCCAGTGTTTTAACCACCAAGCCATCTCCCCAGCCCCAATAATTTTTTTTTTTTAAATCAATGAAATATCCTGGTGAGTTAGCACATGCATGTAATCCCAGCTCTTGGGAGGCAGAGGCAGGAGGATCATATATTCAAAGTCAGCCTGAGCTACACAGACAGTCCCTGTCTCAGAAAAGGAAGGGAGTATGAAATATGGATATGTATTACCCCTTCTATGGACCTCAGAGACCAATATGCAGCTGAGTCAGCAGCTGAAGGTCACATTCTGTATGGCAGAGAGCATTTGTAGGGAGCTCCAGGAAAGGTGAACACAGAGGCGGCAAGCACATTGGTGACTACTCAGAGGCAGCAGGAATAAACTGTAAATGCTGGGAGGAAACATTTCGGCATGATGGGTGTGCTCAATGTCAATGGTCCTTTGGGTTGCACGACTCTGCAGATTCAGTGAAGGATTCTGGATCGTATACTTAGGACTGATGGGTCTCATGTAACTTACAGCTCAGTGAAACCGCACAATAAAGGGAGGAAAGCAGGTGTTCAGAGGAGACAGTTGTGTTGCCCTCTCTCCTCACAGGGTGTTTGTGCTTGTGCTGGTGCTGGTCTCCATCCTCTGGATCCCTGTGGTGCAGGCCAGCCAGGGAGGCCAGCTTTTCATCTACATCCAATCCATCAGCTCTTACCTACAGCCGCCAGTGGCTGTGGTCTTCATTATGGGATGTTTCTGGAAGCGTACCAATGAAAAGGTAAATCGGGATCGGCAACACAATACCCAGGTGCTGCCAATGAACACTGGGAGAAATGGTGGGAAATGGTCTGGCAGGGATCTGCCTGTGTGGGCTAGACTCTAGTGTTACTAGGGAGAATGAGCTCTGTGTGGGAACACACAGGAAGGGGCCATCAGGCTTTTGAAAAGATGTGATGGGCATTCTCAGATGTTTCTGTGTTAAAACATCCTGGCAAAAAAGCAACTTAGAGGAGAAAGAGTCTACATGAGCTTGCAATTCCAGGTCACAGTCCATTACTATGGTACAGTCAAGGTAGCAAGCACTTGAAGCAGGCAGTCACATCACATCCAGTCAAGAGTAGGAAGTGTCTGAGGGTTTCTACTGGTGTGAAGAGACACCACGACCACAGCAACTCTTGTAAAGGAAAACATTTCATTGGGAACTGGCTTACAGTTCAGAGGTTTAGTCAATTGTCATCATGGTGGGAAGCATGGTGGCATGCAGGCAGACATGGTGCTGGAGAGGTAGCTGAGAGTTCTATATCCGAATCTGCAGGCAGCAGGAAGAGACTGTGAGACACTGGGCCTGGCTTGAGCATCTGAGACCTCAAAGCCTGCCCCCAGTGACACACTTCCTCCAACGATGGCACACTTACTCCAACAAGGCTACACCTCCCAATAGTGCCACTCCCTATGAGCCTATGGGGCCATTTTCATTCAAACCACCACAAAGAAGATGATGTACACATGCTGAGTGTCCAGCTAGCCCCCTTCTCTAATACAGCCCTGGGCCCCAGACCAGGAAATGTGCTGCACTTTTGAGATGAGTCTTCCTACCTCAAGACAATCCTACAGACAGACCCACAGACAAACCTGGTCAAGACAGTTCCTCACTGAGCTTCCTTTCTCAAGTGATTCTAAGTTCTGTCAGGTTGACAAAACTACCACACTCAGGTTGACCTCAAACCCACAATCTTCCTGAGTATGGGTGTTACAGGTTTTAAACCACCATACTTGGCTTCATGACACACTCTTGCCAGTAATAGAGAAGCCAAGTTAGAAAGGAGTGAGTGTGTCATATGTAATCAGTTCCTTATAGTTGGGCATCTGCATCTGTGAGTTCAACCAGATTCAACCAACAGCGGAATAAAAATATTTGAAAGAAAAAAAGTTGTGTCCCTACTGAGCAAGTACAGACATTTTTTTTCTGATGTTAACCTCTAAATAAATGGTTCTCAACCTATGGGTGATGACCCCTTTGGGAGTCAAATGACCCTTTCACAGGGGTTGCCCAAGACCATCAGAAAACAGATATTTACATTAAAATTCATAACAATAGCAAAATAGTTATGAAGTAGCAATGAAATGAAATAATGAAATGAAAATAATTTTATGGTCACCACAACATGAGGAATTGTATTAAAGGGTCACAGTATTAGGAAGGTTGAGAACTACTGCTCTAAATAATATAGTGCACTGACTATTTACATAATATTCACATTGCACTGGGTATTATATGAAAATTATATGTATCTAAAGACTATTTAAATTATGTAAGTGGATACACATAGGCCACATGCAAACACTATGCCATTCTATACAAGGGACTTGAGCAGCTGTGGACTTGATTATCTATGGGTCCTGACCCTTTAGGATACCAAAGGCTGACTATATTTGTAGAAGATGAACAGGTATATAGCTCCACATCTTTGCAATATAGTGAGCATCATAAGAAAGACAAGCTCTTGAAATGGCTTCTTGAAGTTTTGGTGCCCTTGGCGTCCCTAAGATGGCTTTACTCTGGTTTGCAGGGTGCCTTCTCAGGTCTGATCTTGGGCCTGCTGCTAGGATTGGTCAGGCTGGTCCTGGACTTTATCTACGTGCAGCCTCGGTGTGACCAGCCCGATGAGCGCCCAGCTGTGGTGAAGGATGTCCACTATCTCTACTTCTCCATGATTCTGTCTTCTGCCACCCTCATCACTGTGATCACCGTGAGCTGGTTCACAGAAAAACCCTCCAAAGAGATGGTACATTTGGGTTGATAGGCACAGCCTCTGAGACACACCAAAAGTGACAGAATGGGGACTCCGGGCTTGAGCAAGATAATTGAATGTTTAGAAAGTCCAGAGTGGGGCTTTGGGGACATGTCGATGCAGAATTCAGAGAAGACCATTAGACTCCATTTCTCATTTCTGCTTCAATTCTCAGGCCAAGGAGTTCCTAGGGCTGTGCCCCCTACCTTTTTTTTTTTTTTTTTTTTTTAAGCTGCCATTAAGTAAAGCCATAAGCAGTCCTGATCCTGGTTCTTAGCAGCTCCAATCAGCTCAGGTGCAACCTTGTTCTTGAACCAGAAGAAAGGCTGAGCTGAAGGGCCAGTCTATGGCTCACACAGTACCCTAGGGCTAGGACAGTCAGATACCAAAGAGAGGAGGGCTATCGGAGGACAGGGGAGCAAGAAAGAGGTACAACCATTGGTTCTGAGGAGTGGAGGGAATTGAAGCTGCTTGGAGGAGAAGGCACACCATGGGCAGTCCGTGTCCAACATGAAGGCTGAGGTGGATGCTGGGTTGGGGGAAGGGAGGAAAAAAAATGGCAGCTTCCATCTGAATCTCACGTTGCCTCTGCTTCTCAGGTCAGCCGCCTGACTTGGTTTACTCGTCATGAGCCTGTGGTCCAAAAGGACCCAGTGCCACTGGAAAACCCCCTGACTACAAACCTTCCTCAGAATGGGACTACAGAGGCCACCAGCACCAGCATCCAGTTGGAGACAATTCAAGAAAATAAGAGCAAAACCCATAGCCGTGAGTTGCCTCTGGTCTTGGTTATAGTAGAGCTTAGGAACCATTATGCGTTCAGGGGAGATTATGTCAGAATTTCAGCATCCCCTGGCTCTGATGCCTGGCCTTCCCCACCCACCAGAGGGGACTCCCCAGAGACACAAGAACAGCAAACCCAGAGCCTACCAAGACTTCATGCAAACCTACACCATAGGCTGGAGACTACAGTAATCTTCAAATCACTTCTTTCAGTTTAGCTCACTTATAAAATGTGAGTTAACATTTTAAAATGTGGAGATTTCACATGAGATCCTAAATTTCCATCTCTTGAACAATGGGAAAATCTGGCAACACCAGGCTTCCATGTTGACATGGCAAAGTTATCTCCATGGTATGAAGATTCAGGTTATCATTTAAAAAAAATATCATGGATACTAACCTATGTCAACTCAAGGTAAGAAACTCCACTGACATTTTTTTCTTGAACTTTTCTTTTTTTTTCTTCCAATGCTAGGGATTGAACCAAGGGCCTTATACATGCTCGGCCACTCAGCCTAGCAAACAGGAAACTCCAGGTCATAGATTTTCTTTGCAGAGGTGAAGACATTGTCATCATTTTCTATGTTGTAAACAGATTTCCCCTCACTCAGGTGTAAGCTTCTGGGTATGCAGCCTGAGCTCCACAGAGAGAAATAGCATTGCCCAAAAGTGCCCCAAGTCCTTCTTCCTCTCTGAAGGAAGGCATTGTGATACAGAGAGGAACAGAGCTGGGTCCTAAGCCCATCTCGGCCACTATGTACCTGCCATGTGGCTTTGCTAAAGTTAGTGTGAGCCTTGATTTCTTCATCGGAAGACAGTGATAATCTTCTAGACTTCAGGTATTAGTGGATTTAATTGTTCCTCAGTGCCTGAGAGAATCTGATCCCAGGACCACAGGGGTCCTCAGATCTGTAGATGTTCAAGCCCCTTGTATGAAACAGCAAAGCAAGGGCTGGGAAGACAGCGGTCAGTAAAGTGCTTGCCTTGAGAGCATCAAGATCTGAATTTGATGCCCAGAACTCATGTTTAAAAAAAAAAAAAACACCAAACTACAGGGTCACAGTGGCATGTGCACCTGGAAGGTGGAGCCAGGCACCCCCACCCCAAAAATCACTGGGGCTCATCTGCCAGTCAACCTAACATACTTGCTGAGTTCCAGGCCAGTGAAAAGGTATCTCAAAAAAAAAAAAAAATAAATAAATAAAAATAAAGGAACCCAACTCCAGAAGAATGACATACAAGGTTGTCCTCTGGCTCACGTGCAGGCAATACATCTACACTCACACACATGTGCACCCACAAATGCCGCAGCATTTGCATATGCCATGTGTATATCCTGTGTACTTGAACTCATCTCTAAACACCCCATACAAGGTCAGTGCTGTGGAAGTTACGCTGTATTGTTTAGGCACGGATGATGAACAAGTCTGTACTCCTCTGAATTCTCCTGCTCATGTTTGGTTAAACCTCCAAACACGGGAGGCTGACGATGCCTTCCAGCAGAAGAACATGGATTCCATATCTCAGTGCATGAACACATGTTGTCAATCCTCTTCTTCCTCCTGAGGACAGGCAGCTCAGTGTGACCTTCCTTTGCTGGGTTCTTTCTAGAGGATGTGTCCCCCAAACAGTCCAAGGTGCTGAAGGCTATGCTGTGGCTCTGTGGAATGGAAAAGGACAAAGAGGAGGCCCCAAGCAAAGCAGAACCTGTGATAATTTCCTTGGAGGAGAATCCCCTGGTAAAAACCGTGCTGGACGTCAACTGCCTTGTGTGTATCAGCTGCGCCATCTTCCTCTGGGGCTACTTTGCCTAACGCGGGGGAGTCCGGGGAATCCAAGCTCTCTGTGTGTTTTCAGTGCCTTGTTATTTTTTTTTTAACAATAGAAAACAAAATGATAATAAAGCCTGTGTTTGTTTACCATAAAGCTTCAGAGGTATCGATGACCAGCCCATCGGCGTTTTCTTCTTGAAAGGAATGGCTGGCCCTGGAGTTTTTCTCGCTGTGGTACTTATCCTGCTTAGAGTTTGTGGGAAACACACCTGTGTGCAGTGCCCTGAAACCTCGGGCACTAACACTCAGGGGCTGCGTGGTGGCACATGTCTGTAATCCCAGCCCTTTCTGAATTAGGATTCCAAGTTTGAGGTCAGTTTGGGCTACATAGCAAGACTCTGTCTCAAACAAGAAACAAAACAAAAACGAAAAACACCTGAACAGTGGTGCACATCTGTAATCCCAGCACCTGGGAGGTAGAGGCAAGAGGAACAGGAGTTTAGGGTCAAGGCCAGCCTGCCTGGGCTACATGAAACCCTGCCTCAAAATTAAAAAAAAAAAAAAAAAAGAAAGAAAAGGGAAAAAAATGAGGTAACTGTGTACACTTCTTGAATTTTACCTACTGACTGGAGAGATGTCTCAGAAGTTAGGAGCTCTTTGCTGCTCCTGCAGAGGACCAGATTGGTTCCCAGGATCCCCCAGTAACTCCAGCTCTAGGGATCCAACACCTTCATGTGGCCACTCCAATGCATTTGCATGTATGTGCGCGCACGCACACACGGACACACGGACACACGGGGACACGGACACACACACGGATACACACGGACACACACATGTACAAAAATAGAAAAAAAAATCTTTCTCAAACATTCTGGCTTGAAAAGTTGGCTTCTTAATTCCACAGGAAGAGCCTTGACACCAGACAGCCGGAAAGATCCATCTGCATGAAGCCTCTGGTTGGGGGCCAGGAATGTCCAGGACCTTGTTCTGTGTGGGGCCTCTCCTGCAGCTCCTCTCTTCTGGGCTCTGATGGAATGATTCAGATTGGTATTTGCTGTGTACAGGACAGCTAAGGGCAATGCCACCTCTGAGGTATCCCTGGACACAAGCTGTCCAGACCTAATATAGAGACGATGGGTGGAGCTACTTACAGGCCCCACCCAACTCTCCTGAGACTCTAATTTCCAGGGATTTCAAAGGAAAACAGGAGTCACTTGGCCACCTACTCAGTGAGTTTCTAGGTGATAGCCATGGCGACAGGGACCAGCTGGTCCAATGGGAGTTATTAGTCAGTGCGTACCTTTAACACTAATCCAAACAACAGTCATGGTCTGGACAAAAGGCTCCCTAAGCCGTCCCAGAAGTGGGGGAGCTTATTGCTTACACAATTCCTAGCCAGACCCATAAAGCTGGATCCTGGCAAGAGCCCAAGATGACTTGGGAGGCAAAAGGACTCAAGGGTTAAGTCCACAGAAAAGAGTCAGTCTTCCTCTCCAGGAGCCAAAGGAGGGAATGGGGGGCACAAGGACTTCCACCAGAGTCCTGTACTCACTGCAGTCCTGACCCCAGAGACCTCTACTGCCTCTGGTTGGAGTCAAAATAAGTTTCCTGGGGATGGGGGGGGGTGCAGTTATCACAGCTGTCACATGTCTCTCCTGAATGGCTGTCACCAGGCTGCTGACAGGCCACCGCACCTCTCTTTTGCCCACTGTGCTGCCTCAGGCAGAGGGCAAGTCTGGTTGACCAGGACTCCTTCCAGTTTCAGTTCTTATCACTCTCCCTTGGTAGTCTAAGCAGAGCCACACTCCCACTCTCCTCTCTGTATCTACTGTAGGTGGTGTGAGGGGCCTCAGGAGGGTGATCAGATATTGAGTAAATAGGTCTTTGACCCCACCCTTATCTCAGCAGCCTCAACTATCCCTTGTCAGGGGAGTTCCCGCGGAGTTATGCAGCTGGCTTGATTCCCAAGTGTTAGCACCTAGCTTTAATCTGCCTTTTCTGACGGCTACCTTTTGTCTCTGGTACCTTCCGTCTGAAATATATAAATCTTGTCTGAGAGTTTCCTAAGAATGCAACACCTATGTAGAACTCGATTCGGGGAGGACTGGCAAACTGAGATGTCTCCTGAGAATTTGCATTTGGCATTGTCTCTTTGGGGAGCTTAGATAAGAGGTGTTGGTATATGGAAATTGATTTGCTAAAGGTGTGAACTGTATGACAATAAAAAGGCCCTTTGCGCCGGGCGGTGGTGGTGCATGCCTTTAATCCCAGCACTCAGGAGGCAGAGGCAGGTGGATTTCTGTGAGTTCGAGGCCAGCCTGGTCTACAAAGCGAGTTCCAAGAAAGGCAAAGCTACACAGAGAAACCCTGTCTGGGGGAGGGGGAGCCCTTTGCTAAGTGAGTGAGTCAGTCTGCCAGAGGCTGATCCCTCTGCAGCTGGAAAAAAGCTAAAAATTATCCTTAGATTGTCTTTGTGTCTTCTTTCCATGGACCTGCATAAACCCATATTCAATACAACAACCCCTTCTTTCTCTTCTACCTAAATCCTACTCTAGGATTTAGACATGGACAGACATCACTTCTAGAAAGCCTTCCTTACTCAGCACCCTCCCATGGCTTGTACATTTGAAATATACCAAGGGCTTGGGAAGAGAGCTCAGTCAGCAGAGCACTTCTGTAGAAACACGAGGACCTGAGATCACAGTCCTGGCACCCACCTTAAAAGCCAGGTGTGCATCTATAATCGCAATATGTCTGCTACAGAGGCAGACAGGAGGATCCTTGGGGCTTGGTAACCAACCTGCCTAGTCCAGTCAATGAGTTTCAGGTTCAGTGAGAGACTATATCTCAAAACATGAGATGGAAAAGCAATTGAAGAAGACACCTGATATTGGCCTCTGGATGGACATCTACATACATGAGCAGTCATCACACACACACCACACACCACACACACACACACACACACACACACACACACACACACACACACACACAGATATTTAACTGCTCAAATGCAGTGAACATTGCTTGAAGGCAGAGGGTGTCATACTGATGTCTGGAATAGCGTCTGCTGGGTGAATGGGTGGCAACCTCAAGAACACACATGTAACCTGGCTCCATCCCTTCTAGCTACCACCTATCACCTTTAGCCAGCCTGTCTTCTCACTCCTGCCCAGGTCCCTTGTACCATGGAACACGTGGTGGTGACATTGTGTTGTCCAAAATATTGTGCACCCTAATAAACGTATCTGGGGTCAGAGAACAGAACGGCCACTAGATACTGAGGCCAGAAAATGGTGGCACACACGCCTTTAATTCTATCACTTGGGAGGCAGAGCTCCATCCGAATCTCTGTGAGTTTAAAAACACACTGGAAACAGTCAGACGTGGTGACTCACACCTTTAATCCCAGGAAGTGATGACTGGAAGCAGAAAGGTATATAAGGCGTGAGGACCAGGAACTAGAGCCTGGTTAGCTCTAGCTGAGATCCATTTGGATGAGGACTCAAAGGCTTTTAGTCTGAGGAAATAAGACCAGCTGAGGCATTGGTGAGGTGAGGAAGCTGTAGCTTGTTCTGCTTCTCTGATCTTGCAGCATTCACCCCATACCTGGCCTCAGATTTGTTTTTATTAATAAGACCTATTAAGGTTCGTGCTACTGTGCCTGCCCCAGTGTAGTAACCTGTAGTCAGCGCTCATGGAGGGGACCTTCCAAGTCCTTCATTATAACTGGGCTGCTCTTAGTCACCTCTCAAGTCTGGGGAGGGCTCAGAATCAGCCAGATCATGCTACTTGCGCCTCCTGAGAAAAGTGCCCAACTGTCCACTCCCTGCTGTCCTTAATGTGGGCCAATGTCAGCACCAGTTCTAAAGGGTCTCCCCATCCAGTCTCACCTCCACCTAGGTCTGTTTCTTCTACAACATAGGCTTGTGGAGATGTAAAATACAAACCTTCTCTCCCCAGCTCTCCACCGCACTCTCCTTGGGAAGTTGATAAAGTCCGGGTACAGGCCCTCCATGCCCAGCTCCTCCTGCCCTCACCAGCCTCCTCCCTTGCCTTTTGCTGCCTCAGCCACAGCCTCACCCTTTTCTACCCCTTTTCCTTAGCACGTTGCTGTTGTTTCTGAGATAGGGTCCCACTGTGTGGCTCTGACTCCCCTGGAACTCGCTTTGTAGCCCCGGCTGGCCTTGAACTCAGATTCACTTGCCTCTGCTTCTCAAGCCTAGCACTTTTTAAAGATTTTTAAAAATATATGTGAATGTTTTGCCTCACGTACATGTGTACCACCTGCGCAAGCCCAAGAGGGGCTCAGAACCCCTCAACCACAAACTGGAGTTCCAAATGGTTGTCAGCAGTCACGTGAGCACTGGGAACCCAACCCTGGTCCTCTGCAAGAGCAGCAAACGCTTACTCTAGCCCCTCCTTCTGCTCTGGTTTTACTTCCTGATTCTATCTTCCTCTGACCTCACCCCCCATTGACTCCATCTCTGTCACCCATTGTCTTACCACCTACCTCTCAGTGATTCCTCCTCCGGTTGATTCCATCTCCCACTCTGGTCTCATCTCCCAACTCTAGCTCTACCTGCCACTCTAGCCTCATCTCCCTAGGTCCACCTCACAGCCATCCCTCCTCACGGGCCACCCACTTGAGCTGTTTTCTATTGTATATAGTTGTTGTACTTATTGTATATAGTGTTTCTTATAACTTTTTCTAATTTTTTTTGTTTTAGACAAGAAAGGGGAAGTGTGGTGATATGTTGTGACCCCCAATATTGTGCAATGTGGTGATATTGTGTTCCCCCAAAATATTGTGCACCCTAATAAACTTATCTGGGGTCAGAGACAGAATAGCCACTAGATACAAAGCCTAGAAAATGGTGGCACTCACACCTTTAATCCTAGCATTTCAGAGGTAGAAATCCCTTTGGATCTCTGTGAGTTCAAGGCCACATTAAAAACAACCATGCATGGTGACACATGCCTTTAATCCCAGAAAGAGAGCCCTTAATCCTAAGGAGTGATGGTAGAAAGGAAAGATATATAAGGCGTGAAGACCAGAAACAAGAAGCATTTGGCTGGTTAAGCTTCAGGCTTTCGAGCAGCAGTTCAGCTGAGAGCCAATGGGATGAGGACTCAGAAGCTTCTAGT